ATTCCAAAAATTGAAGAGGAAAATTTTTATAATTATATAAATTTAATAAAATATGCCTATGATAAAGCAATAATGTGAACGTTACTCAATCAAACTGGCTCCTTACGTATTTGCATATTACGTTTTTTTGATATCAAACTTGAGTTCATTAAATGTTATTGTTTGCAAGCCTTTATTTATTATCATTATTATTGATGTGGGTACTTGGTTTTTTTTATTATTTACGCGCGAATTAATCTCACTTCGCTTTGGCATCTCTGGGTGCCAAACTGTAGCCTGTGCTACTCCAGGTCATAGACTGTGTATTATCTAATCTTAATAAATCGTACAGTTCTTTCACTGTCAAGGGTTAAGAAACATACACATACACACATGCAGACTTCAAAAAGTACACTAACTTCAAAATCATTCAAAAAACTACAAACTAATTATTGTACCCTGAGGGGGTGTATTTTTAATATTATATTGGGTTTAATGTACCTTTTAAAAACAGAATATGAAAAAAAAAGATTTATAATTGGCGAAGATATCACGAAAGATATACTAGAAAAATACCATTCACACTGAGTACTTTATCTTTTGAAGTCGGTCAATTAAAGAACCTATATAAGAGCAAGTACGTTACCCAGTTATTTAGCCTCCGATGTATCAACACAATTGTAGGAAGCGAGTATTTTAATGGGGAGAATTAATTCCCAGGGCTGTACCGGGGCGGGTGCGTGACCTATGTGATTTGTCATGCCCGCTCGTTTCCTTGCGAAAATGTTTTCGGATGTTCCGTTTACGCCATTGTGTTTTCAAAAAGCCTTTTGGGAATTTAATTTCGCTTACGATGTGTAGCGTTCACATGTGGGTGGCGCTTGCTTTGAAGAGTTATTTAAAAAATTACTTTTGAAATTGCTGTTATTCTTGATTGTACTTTTAAAATTACTGTTTTTCATTAACATTTCGCTTAGAACTAAATTATAATTAGCGATCTAGCTATTTGAAATAATTTATTTCATGTTTTTACCACGAAACTTTTAGAGACCACTAACACCAGTGGGGTTTAGAAAAGAGGTCATTGATTATACATTTTTTAAGAGAAACTTTAAAAATTGTATTGAAATGACTTGTTACGTCATGGTATCATACAATAATATATTATTCCAATATATTTTTTATTTACCTTCGGTGGGACGATAATTGATATAAACGCTGAGAGGTCAGGCGCAGGACCGACAGCTTGCTCTCCATGGCATGGCAGTAAAACATCGCCAACTTCCCATGTTCAGAATCTTACTGAGATTTTTTTACAATAAAAATCAATAACTATACTTGGCTCGACTTGGGACCCAATCCCATGACCTCCGAAACTACAGCTATACGTACAATCCACTATACAAACGAGGCAGTTATCCACTTGTAACCATTAACAAAAATATTTAATTAAATCTTTTGATATTCTTCCAACGAGAATCCAATAAGTCTGGGGCCACCTCGGTCGTTATACTTTAAGCCAAATCGAGCCGAATCGAAATGTCAAAGGTATCATTAAAATGTTCTAGGGAACGTTATCACGAGGACTCATCAGATAAACTGAGATTTAACCTCGAATTTCCAATAACCGTGAGTACTTTATATCTTATAGCAGTGAGATTTTCAACTGGAGTTTCTAAAAATCACAGATTTTGATGTAAAGATTCTTGGAAGTCTTAAAAGTTTCCTTTATCATTGTTTCAAATAATTATTAATAAAAAATAATTGGTTTGATACAAATGTCAAATTGAATAAGGTAAAAAATATTTCTAATTATGAGTATTTCAAAATTGATGAAAATTCGGCCGAAATATTTAGCAAGTGCAGGTGTACTTTAGATGGTACTAATTACCATCATTCAGATCGTAAGTGTATCCACTGTATGAATAAGGATTCTTTAATTATATATTATAGACTTGCAAAATGTAAAATATTGATTAGATACTTTAATTTTTCATCCCACCATAATCTTGAACTACTTTTTTGTAACTTACAGTTGACGTTTTTTCCCGTTTTATACGATACATGCTTTATTTTCGTAACTGTCGTAGCAAATACCCCGATATACCCACACCCTACAGCTTAATAATCTATTAACTAGCATCATTATACTCGTAGCACTATTAAAATCTAACTAAACATTTTGTCCTTACCTACGAAAAATAGTCTAACCTAGAAAAAGGTATTTAGAGATCGTTCGCCAAATAAAAGGTTTTGTGCTAACAAATTGGACTTTCAAATGATTTATGTGGCGTAAGCTGCTTGAATCGCACGCACAATGAACCCTAGTTATAGCGCTGTATCGAAATATCGGATATTTCAATTGGATTGGGAGTGCGAGGTCAGAAACGGTTTCAGGGAGTGCGAACTGACAAAAGGGCAGCAGCACGTGACGTCACAATCCATCTTTAACACCCCTATTAGCGTTGTTTTCCAAATGTCACGAATATACTGTGTGACTGGACGTGATACGTTTTTATAGATAAAGTACTTATTTGTTATATGTATATATGTGGTGTTTATTTCGAAGGCTTTTTATGGGAGAACTTATATTTCTATACATATCCATCTGTGATGAGGTACAAAATTATGTAATAACTAGCGACACATTTTCGCTTCGCTCGAGTTCGTCCCTAGATAGGTTTTAAGTGTTAGTATGGAATATATAGACTAAACATTCTTTGATATATAGCCTTTAGCCTTCCTCAATAAACGGGCTATCTAATGCGATAAGAATTTTTCAAATTGGATTAGTAGTTTCTGAGATTAGTGCGTTCAAACAAACAAACTATTAGTATAGATAAGCCACTTTTTCTCGCTTTGATCTAGGTGCCTATCAGTAGCCTGTATGTAACTCTAGTCCATTGTCTGTCTATATACTAAAATTCTAAATCAATTTACATAATCCAGAGAGAAGGAATGGAGAGACAAACATACACAAAATTTCACATTTACAATTGTAGTCAGATGTTCGTTAAAGTTTCTGTTATAATAAAATTTATGAAAAGACCTTCATTTGTTAATTAGTGCTAAATATAACAGGCACAATTCGTATGAGCAATGCACATATTATTATGTCTTGCACCACTTAGAAATCTAGGGCATATCTCCATATAACTAAAAGTCTTATTTTATAATTTAAAGTTAACATAAATCTAAGTAACAGCGATGAACAGATTTTCTATACAGACAGAATTCATCAAGAACTTGGAGTACATTCATTCGGACAAGGGAAACTGAAAAAAACTAGTTTGGAAGTCGTTCCTTATTGCATTATAAATTTTTCCGTGTTGCCTCCCTATATTTTTTATTGAGTTTTTAGATTGCCAAAAACGAGATTCGAATATTGTTTTATAAAAGTTTTAGTATATCGATATTCATAAAATTAAAAGTAAAATCTATATATAAATAGGCAAAGGCAAAACGGTTAAGTACCTTTTTCTTCTCCGTTAATCTACCAATTTTTTTTTCAGTAGCTATTGACAAGCTTTAGTGTTATTAATTAAAAAAGTTTGGAGACAGTTATTTTTTTTCTTATTTGCTTTTCGTTTAGATGTTGTATATTGTGTGTATCTTTTGTTGGAGATCCTAATTAAAAAAATAAATAAATAAAAGATTAAGGTCTAATTTTGATCACTGGGCGAACACTATAAATATCAAATTTAATGTTTCAAATATGAAGGTAAAAACTTTCAAAACAAATTATGAACTAATTTTTCTGCATCATTCATTTTAATGATATAGAATTAAATTTGAAATGTCAAATCTATGCGTAAATCAAAGAAAGTATTATACCCACAATGCTTATTATTTGGTACGAATAATTTATATTATTATATATGAGTATGTGAGGATAAGAAATGTAAAATGAGATAAAAAAGGATGTAATTAAATAAGCCTAAGAGATCATAAATACTTTTAACCGTTGAAATCCCATTATTCGTACTAAGATTATAAATGTTAGGATAGATGGATGTTTGTTACCCTTAATGCCAGAACGGCTGAACGGATCTGGATGAAATTTGGCAGAGATAGATTATAGTCTGGAATAGCATACAGGTTACTTATTATCCCGGAATAATGTATGGTTCCCGAGGGATAGACTTGTTTTTATCAATGCGAAAGTTTGGATGGATTTTTGTTACTCCATCACGAATAGCAGAACGGACCTGGATATAATTTGGCACAGATATAGATTATAGCCTAGAATAGCACATAGGTTACATTTCATCCCGGAAAAATTTACCGTAAAGGTGCTCCCGTGGGATAGATTTGTTTTTGTTTTTAACTAAGGACGAACCCAAGCAAAGTGAGGGTGAGTTGCTAGTATGGTATAAAATATATGGTTGATGCCGGTGTTGCAAAAAACATTGAATGGTTATATGAATTTTCATAATGGTATCCACCTGGTTCCTAAAACTAACGTCCAGAACGAATTATGTTTGTGGCTTGACCTTTATACGTGACTTTTCAGTCATTTGTTTTTACACTTGCTGTTCTTATTTTGCACATGGAAAATATCAGACTAGAATTCTGCCATGATTTTCCCCATATCTTAAGTGACACATATATCTACATACATAAGCAAATGCTTTCATGAAGATTATACCTATTGATTGTTATATTATTGAATGTGTTTTTAATATTTCCATTTGAGATCACTCAGAGAGTTTTAAAGGTAACAAAATACTTGACAATAAGATTCTTTATAATCTCCAATCTTGCAAGTAAAAGCTGAATAACTTAAAATTATATCTATTATATATATCCAATATTTTTGACTAAGAAAGTACACTGACTAAACAATCAATTAAAATATTAATTATTATTCATATATTTTTTAAAATTAATATACATATAATCTAGTGGTACTCATTAAAGAACATAAATATCCGTTGGAAAAAATGCAGCCGAATTGAGAACCTCCAATTTTTTATATCGGTCAAAAAAGATATATTTTTGTCTAAAAATATGTTACTCACGTGTATTCCGGGGCTTCAGCGAGCATGGTTCGTACGTACGAGATGTGCTTGACGCGTCGTTGTTTCGATCTGTCCAGCTTGTTGCCGCACCCCTTGTTCAGTTTTGTCCGCGCTTCAAAGATAACATGTGGATGCTTCTGCTGAAACAAACCGACCGACATATTAGTATATAAACAAATTATCTTTCCCAAGTAGGGAAAGATAATTTGTTTATATTTTTTATAACTATTTTAAGAACCATATATATAAATATATATTTTTTTCTAAATTTGGCTATGATATGTTTAGGTATCGTTAATGTGTGGAAAAGTTCTGAAAGCCTGATCATCATCATCCAAAACTTTACATATGTTGTAACTTATTATTTCAGTACAGTACAGAAAATTACAGATTATAGGATCATCCTCGATAACCAAGCTAAGTCTTCTCACCCGTATTCTCCTTCTAACTTGAGGTTGATCAATCAATTGGTTTTATTAGGTTTTAGTTGGTAGTACTGACTTTTCTAACCGGTGAGTCTCACATAACCACCTGTATGTCTGCAGATGGTACGCGTAAATGCATTTGCCAACATTAAAAAAAATTGATCAAAGCTATATTTGTAAATAATTAATATTCTTACTATTTAATAAGTGCTTTAATTTAATTTTATAACGTTTTTTAACTTAAAATTTGTACTAGACCATAAATCTTGGTAAATACATCTAAGCAGATAAAACTTTTAAAAAAACACAGCAAACAATGTAATATCTTTCATTTGAAACATTTCTATCTGTAAATACAGCTCGATTTAAACGTTAAATGCAAGGAAGACAAGCTTTGAAGAGAAACTGATACTTTTTGAAGTAATAAACAGGGCGTACGGACGTGCGCTGGGAGACGAATGGGTATCAAATATAGGTCAGGTCGAACTTTTGATACAGGTGCGTTTAAATACAAAGTTATATTGCAACATTGGTAAATACTTTAACCAATTAAGTTAAATGGTAAAGGTGTGAATGATTGCTTAAACTGATTAATTGAATTGTTGTTTTAAATATTTTTTGTTTTATAATGTTGGAATTATTTATACATACTTAATACTAGCGACTCACCCTCGCTTCCCTCTGGTTTGTCCCTAGGTACGTGTTGACGGTTAGTATGGAATAGATAGACTATATACTATATCATATATAGCGTATAACCATCCTCAATAAACGGGCTATCTAATGCAAGAAGAATTTTTCAAATCGAATTAGTAGTTCCTGAGATTAGCGCGTTCAAACAAACAAACTCTGCCTCTCAATTATATTACTATATTAGTATAGATATATGGCTGAGGTCAAACGTCAGTAAGTTTTATAACAGGGATAATATCTAAAAGTACTGGCTAATCGGATTCTAAAAATGGGCAGATATATAAGCGTTGAGTGCTATAGGCTATTATTTATTCCGATAAACATTTTTTTACTGTCAGAAATCATTTTAATTTTAATTGAATACGAAAAAATGGCCGTTGAGTCACTTTACCTGCTATTGTTAGGCATCTAGGGACTCGAAGCGAGTGTAAGTCGCTAGTTAGATTTAAAATAAAAAGGTTGTATCGCGGTTTTATTTATAAAATTAGCGAGTCCCTTGATACGTTTTAAGGGTTAGTATAAATTTCTCAGAGATGAGATATTTTCCCTCAGTAATATATTGACCCGGAACCAACTGTCGTCATACCAAACCAGCTATTGTCATACCAAATTTCATCAAAATCTGTCCAGTGGTTATTTGTGATGCATTCTTAGACAGATAGACAGACAGACGAAAAATCTAAACATTATTGAATCGGCCTCTGTATCGATAATAATGATTATTTCAATACGATTTTCCAAAAAAATATTTAACTTACAGATTCGACTCAGAATTTTATTATATGTGTAGATAAAAAAACGTATAGACATTCAACTTGTGCGAATAGATTTTTAAAAATAAATTCATCAATACTCATCTTTCCGGTTGTTGACTCTATAGTTTTATTAACCGATTTTATAAGGTACTCAATTGGTCCCTATTGACTGTTACTTCAATGCATGTTTTTTAATATTATGTAATGTTTTCGACATTTTGTTAATTAGTTTTTGTAATTATTTTTAATGAATAGTCTATTCAAGTCTCGTGAAAGGTATTTTCAAGAAATAATTTTCCTTTTCTAAAGGTATAATTACTTTTAAGGTGATTTTAAATTTGATATTTCTGTTGAAAATTATTAGTACTGATAAGAACAAAAAGAATAAGAATAAGAAGAATAAGAGGGTTCAATGTTATCCGCGACGTATTTATTCTTCTACCTCATGTTATAGTGCTTTACAAAAAAATAAAACTTTTATTAGGTTATCCTCCTTTTCTATTAGGTTACCATGGGACTAACCATAGGGTAACCTAATAAAAGCTCCGCTTCAAATCTTACTAATCCTACCATTACACTGTTAGAAATTTTATTTATCAAACAAAATCAGATTTTTAAGGCGAAACGAAGATTTACAATATTATTTTTATTGATTGAATTTAAAATATTATATCTCGTATATAATGTCAAATGAAAAAAGTTTTTTTTTATTTTATTTTTTTAGTAGGGAAACAAACAGTCTTTACAAATATTTATACAATAGTATATATAAAGACAGACCATAAAGTTTCCACTGATACGTGGTGTCACCATATCGAGCGGTGAAGTAAACAAAAAAAACATATTAAACGTAACAAAACCTAAGAATTTACAAAAACAAACCAAAACTATATGACGCAAAACATAATAAAATTAATCAACAAAAAGTCTAGTCAAGTTCGGGTTTGCAGATTTCCCATGTCCTTTGAAAAATTCATGTTCACAATGATTCGCAAGAGACTATCAGAGATGCGAGACCCGGGATTCGAACCCGCTTCACTTATTTTCCCAAGCAAGCACGCTACCACTAGACTGCCTGCCTTGCAATCATAATATTCGTTAAAATATACCAAAAAACAATATATAAAAAAGAAAATGATCGGTAAAGATGTAATCATTGAATATATCTACCATCTACGTTCTACATATCCCTATAGTCTGTGCGAATCTGAATTCGGCAAGACAATTTGATTTTCTCCGTGTACCATGTAAGTGCCTGCGTATTGAATAAAATATTGGTGTGAGTGATGAGAGCCTGAACACGAATTCACTTTCCATTCGCCGCCGTTGCCAGGTGAGGTAATACATAAATTGAATTAAAGGTCCAATCACGTTCGATTTTGTGCGAGAAGGTTCAAAATGAAAGGTTTTAGACTACTGGGTTTACGATGCGGTTTTAAGATTTCATTTACTCGCTTTTTTAGTACAGTATGGATGGGGTTTATAAGTTATTGTATCACTTTCTTTAACAACACTGTGTATTATGTTAAAGGATCGTTTCCTGCAAAAGTCAGATTTTGGTGATATTAGTACTAAAGTATTTTTGTAGGAGAATAATATAGAAGATGAAAATAAAAAGAAAGATTACAAAAAGGCATGCAAAGTCCGATTGCCGTGAACATTCTCTTCCAGACAACCTTTGGTGAAAATATTAGTGTTGTTTATACAAGCTCAAAAACATATACATACATAGTAAAAATATATATAAATATATAATATACATAATAATGTATACACATATAAATATATAGCGTGAGTACCAAAAAGTACGTAGATATTTTATTTTCGCTATCAGGTACACAGACTTTTATAATAATACTCTATCTCGATAAAAGATATGTATCTTAAATAAAAAATTAAGGCCTTTTTTCTATTTGACTTTTTTGTATACAACAATATGCCTATAATCAAGTCGTAATTAACAATGACTATCGTTTTTTGTCCGCGTCGTTTCTAACAAAGGACCAATTTTCGCGTCGTACCTGGACATTTGCATTGATTAAAATGAAATATTGAATTAATTAACGCCTTAAATAAACGTCTGTATATTATGACATCTTTGTTTTATGGATATTACTTGCTATTTCAATATTTGTTATTTATATATCGCTACGATTTTTGTTATACCTAACATTTTTCCAAAAAAGCTCTAAAAAAACAATAGACTTTCAGATACTAAAAAGTAAAAATTAACTGAAGGGGTTATCATTTACTATAGATATAAATATTTATTTAAGAAAATCCCAAAATTGATGGATCTCTATTTTAAACATTTTAATCTCCATATTAGCAATGAGTATCAATTTTTCAGAATTATAAAACCAAGTTGTATCGAATATTTGTTTATTTAAAAATCCTACTTACATTTCTATTACATATATAAAACCTTTTCAAAAACCTAGATGAAGTTTAGTCTATGCCTACATCATTAAATCACCTGCCGCATTTATATATAGATAAACTGTCACACCATTGCAAGATGGCGGTCATCCCAATGAAACATGGCGGCAATTTGCCGAGTAAACGCGGCAAATTGGATATTTCTCGCACCTCGCGTTTGCTACACTTTTTTTGCCGGACCACTGCTCTTTACTTCACTTTTTTTCAGCTTATATGGGTTAATGGTACATCATAACGCGCATATATTGTTTTAGATTGCCAGTTTGTTTGTGTAACGCCCTGAAAATGGCTGTGGAATAGAAATATTCAGTTTTGTTTAAATGTTCTATATTGTTTGTTGATTTTTAGAGCTTTGGGGCTTAGTTGAATTGGAAATAGCTAAAGTGAAATATTATGGTATCTATATATCATATTGTTCAGTATTTATACTAATATTATAAACACGAAAATAATTTCATCTGTCTGACTAAATAGCTTAACCAATTTTGATGAAATCAGTTATATATAAGAATACTTTTATGTACTGAGTGTCTTTTGGCAGTTCTTCGAGCTTTTTTCCGAACTGCTGTTAAGAGTTTTAGACAAAAAATAATTATGTGTTTGATATACTAATCTATACTAATATTATAAAGAGGTAAAGTTTGTGAATTGTTAGTTTGTGACGTTGTAGGGGTTAATCTCTGTATCTACTGAACCGATTTAGATGAAATTTGGTAAGAAGACAGTTTGAGATCCTGGGAAGGACATAAGATACTTTTTATCCCGAAAATTATCCCTTAAAGCGGTGAAAATGGGGATGAAAGTTTGTATGGGGAATCAAGTATTGAATAAAGAGTTTTGAAATTGTTTTGTGTGAATATAATAATCATAATAAGAATAATAAATTATATTAATAAAATAAAAAATATCACCACGATTTAGTTGAAATTAGAAAATTGCCTTTTTGTCCTGTATTTGTCATTCTATTTTTTTTAGTACTTAAGGACGAGCTTTAGTGTTATAAATAAAAAAAAATTAATGATTATGATCGAGTTTCGACCACTACGCGATTAGTAGTAAGAGGTAAATCGTTCTTAATTTTCCGCTACTTTTAACATATAGTCTGGCATATCGTTTTCCTACACTAGCGATTCACCCTCGCTCCGTTCGAGTTCGTCCCTAGTTACGTTTTAATGTTTAGAGTACATTTCTCAAAGATGAGATATTTTTTTGCAGTAAAAAATATCCTATATGACACGGACAGCTAGCTATAATCATACCAAATTTCATCAAAATCTGTGTAGTGGTTTTCTCGTAATGCCTTTCTAAACAGACACAGATAGACAACAGACAGAAAAAATCTAAAATCCATAGATTCGGTCTCTGTATCGACAATAATAACTATTTCAATAAGATTTTCCAAAAAATATTTAATGTAAAGATTCAACTCAGAATCTTATTATATGTATAGATGGATATAAATAAAGAAACAGTTTTTGAAATTTTCTTTTAGTTTCCAGAAGTGTCGTTAATATTATTTATTTCCTTTCATACATCACTTTAACGCAATATCGGGGAATGAATCACTATCACGAAGCTTTTCTAAAGCGCTCACAAATTTCAAATGCCTTGGAAAATGTTGGCAACATTTAATGCGTGTCGTGTAAGCGAAAATAGTACCTATGTACAATGTAGTAAGAGTCATGTGAACTACACGTGTACATTTGTAAAGCCTGTTTCTCATGAAATACAATATTGGGGTATCTAATATCTCTTTATACATCGTTGGGCCGTGACATAGAGTTTTGTGCTCTAAAGCAAAGGCATGAGTCTCAAAATAGCTTAATTTTCTTAATAAATTGTCATTAAAATAAAAAAATCCAAAGAAAAGTACGTCTGTTATTAAGTTACGTTCTGTAAATGTTATAAAATATGAAATGTTATGTGCCTTAAAAATTATGAATCAAAGCGTTGACTTTAAAATTAGTTGGCCATTATTTTATACTAGCATTGTCCGCGGCTTCGCCTGCGTTCAGATGATCAAAAACCAAATTTATACATTATATACATACTCTTACATTGCAGTTTTGTATTTTTTCTCAGAAATGAGATATTTTCCCGCGGTAAAAAGTCCTATATGTTGACCCGGATAACCAGCTATCACCATACCAAATTTTATCAAAATCCTTCCAGTGGTTTTTCTGTGATGCGGTAACAGACAGACAGACAGGCAGACAAAAATTCTAAAAACTATAGATTCAGCCTCTGTATCGATAATAATGTTTATTTCAATATTATTTTCCAGAAAATATTTAATGTACAGATTCGGCTTAGTTACAATTTTATTATATGTATAGACAATGAAATTATTGCTATTTCTTTTAAATCTTGCAAAATCTCCCAAAACTGAAAGAATTAGTGATAATCAGGTAAATTTTACTGTACCAGTATTATACTACGAGTACTTATTAGCGGCTCATTGTCGTTAAATATCCCCAAATTTTTTTATATCTTCTTTTTATTATTGAAATATATCTTCACTAGGGCTTTCATTAACATAAACGTACTAGCGGCTCACTCTCGCTTTGTTCAGGTTTGTCCCTACGTTTTAACGGTTAGTATGGTATAGATAGACTATATTTTATTATATTACTGCTCCGCGCAGTTGGGTAATAGCATGATGATATATAGTCTATAGCCTTCCGCAATAAGCGGGAGCTTGCGGGAGTCCGGACTCTAGCACCATCCAAATAGGGCTTGAACCAGCCGTTAAGTCGGAGAAGTTCAGGTACCTTGGATCCGTCCTGCACGAGTCCGGTAGCATCGACCACGACGTTCAAGCTCGTATAAGCGCTGCTTGGGCCAAATGGCGAGAGGTCACAGGTGTGGTCTGTGATCGCAGAATACCACCCAAGCTCAAGGGACAGATATACAAGAGCATCATCCGACCGGTCCTTTTATACGGGAGCGAGTGCTGGCCAGCGCTATCTCGGCACACTCAGGAGCTTCACGTCACGGAGATGAAGATGCTGAGGTGGATGTGTGGCGTAACGCGGGCTGACCGCATACGCAACACGTTCATCCGGGGTAGTCTCGGGGTCCATAACGTAGCGGATAAGCTCCAAGAGCGGCGTCTGAGGTGGTATGGTCATATC